CCAGCACTGCTCATGTGCAGTAGAAAGCGTTTAAATGACAAGCTGTGATTTCCCTCCTGTTCGGAAAGCTTGAGTGTCACATGATCAGAGCATCCCATCACATACCACAAACACTACTTCAAGACAGGTGAAGCCAAATATCTGGTCATCAGCCCTTAACTGAACTGGATTTTCAGAAAACATTTCAACAATTTCAAATAAACAAAACGTGTTGATAGCCAAGTTCTGAGCAGGAGGGAAAAAGTCTAAATTCATCTATTTTAAGCTGTGAATTAATCATAGCTTCAGAAACAGCTTCTGTCGTGACACAGCTTTGATTTGTCCCTCCCCAGTTTTACTCATACCCTCCCTTCCTTGCATCCTGATGATGAGAGCTTTCCTTGGGATGGCTGCTCCAAACACACCATACCCAAACAGCCACATTTCTCACAGCCCCTTTCTCTCCCCTTCATCCTTCGGTAAAACACCTCCATAAAATGTTTTTGTCCAACCATCCCCTGGACATTTCACCTTCTTCCAAGCCTCACGTATCTCTTCCCAACCTTTTATTCAGTATTTCCTTTGTCCGTATTGTTATTTAAAAGCTCTCACTTCTCCTAGCCGCCTGCTAGTGGGCTCTGTCATATTGATAACAATATTAGTTAATCTTTGCTCATCTTTTCTCTGCTCTCTTCACTGCTTTTAGGTAGATGGTTCATAAATGTATGCAGTAACATAAAAAAGTGAAATGGAACCTTCAAATAAACTTAAGAGTGAGGCTGAGACCAATTTGCAGATGTTCAGTAAAGTCAAAGAGAAGTTGATTTGAGGAGATAAATTATTCATTGTTAATTATTTGCCCTTTTTTAATGCTAAATCCTCCATTTCAGCCTCCTGCAGGCAACTCAAGCAGCGCTTCTTGAGTTTTTTAACAGCAACAGCACAGAGTTTTTGAAGTGTTTTTGGTCCCTCCGGGTTGACAGGTGCTACATAAAAAGAAGCCTGGATATTGTTATTAAGACTTTTGAGAGTTTGAAGCATAAAGTCCTGCAGAGTGAGCTGAGATTGTATCTTCAAAACACACATATTACACCTCTAACGTGCTCACAGGCTCCAGGCTGTTCTTCAGCGCAGGCTTGAGCAAAGAACGGGGTGTCGGTTGCTCTGCCCCAGGGACTTCGTGACTTCAGCTTGGGGCTGAATTGTCTGCATCTGTGGTGCTGGGGTGCTGTGAGGACAGAAGATGGGAACGCATCATTTGCCTGCACTGTCCCACGAGTTTCCAGTTCTCCTATGCACATACCAACCTTCTGTTTGTTCAGACAGCTTTTACTGGACTCGAGGTTCTGGTCTTTCTCTATGCTTTTCATCTCCTACAGAGTAGCGAGCAATTGCGTACAAAGCTCAGTTTCCTCATATAAAGCAACATGAGCTTGCTCAGTTGGAATAGCAAGATTTTACTCCTTATATGTATCTCAGGTCTCACATTGACCATTCGTAGTCCTTTTGGCTTTGAATACTCTGTACTCTGCTTATTTTATTCAAGGAAATTGCTACTTCCTTGTTAACCTCTTTGCTCAGTTTATTTCAAGCCTGGAATATAGTTATCCATCACTGAGCTAAGTCGTACATGTGTAACGTGAAGTACTGATCCATCACAGCTGCAAATCCAGTGCAAAGAAAAAAGACTTGATTCTTTTTTCCTTTTCCCTTTTATCTTTTCTCTTTTTCCTTTTCCCTCTTCCCTTTTCCCCCAAGCGGAGAAGCCTGTGTTATTCAAATGAACTCAGACAGCCCCAGTCAGCCCTTTGACACCCAAAGCACTTTGGTAGTCAGTTCAGACTGGCACACAGCCACTCACTTCTGCACTTGCCCATAATGAAATCCATTCAAACGTACAGCTCCCTGAGAATGCTGTACCTCAGCCTAAGATCATCACGAGGAACCCACAAAACAGGCAGCAGTAACGCAAGGACCATTTATATGCATCATTTTATTTGCATTGTAGAAGGCTTTTCCAACACACAATGAGTTTCAAGTACTCAGAGAAAAGTTTCAGGCTGATTACTGGGGTGCACAATATTTTTTGTGTTTATGTGCATATACATATGTATGTAGTGTTAGAAGGATATTAGCTCAGCAACATCACTCAGATTGGGCTGTGAGTAAAAGTCAGTGTGCTCATACAGATATTAAGTAGTATGTTAAAGGGCCTGTTTTTTGGAAATAAAAGCTTAATTTCATTAGCATAATGATGATAACATACAGCTTCGAATGGTATTAGTTCCTGTTTACATTTCTCATGGTGTTAGTCTAAGCTGCATTTGCCATCTAGACATAATTACTATTTTATTATTATTTTTTTCACAGTTAAGTGGAGCATTTTAGCACAGCTGAATTGCTGCAAGCCTTGGTGGAACAAATCTATTAGTGGTATGGCTTGAAACAATACACAAAAGAGCCCTGTGTGTGGTCTGCTCTACATGCTTTTCACTTCCTTATGTTAAACAATAAATCTCTGAGTCAGCTAGAACTCAGAGACTAACATCCAACCAGAGCCGCATTTTATCTTTTATTCATTGGCAGGAACATAGCTGTAGGAGGTATTCAAATCACACTTTTATTTAAACAAACACAGCTGGATCACAGCCTCTTAATATAGCAATTCTCTAATGAAAAATAACAACATAGTATTTATCTCTTTTCTTTTGTGCAGCTCTCAATTTGCTAAAATTAGGCAGACTTCAATCCCATACAAAATTGGCATGTTTTCATGACCAGAGCTCATAGCAACTAACTGCAAAATTATAATGGGAATGTAATTATAGTAGGGCATGTGAAATACACATCCTTTTGCTGCTGTAAGCTATATGGGGTTATACAATTATGCTGTAATAACATCATTTATCTTAAAGAAGTCAGACAGCTGATTTCATTTATTTAACTCGAGTTCTCCAGTTATGTGCTGTGTCAGATTAACATTAATGTATTGCACAAAGTAATACAGTGCTAGAAGTCAGGGCTTCCCCTAGATGCATTGTTCCCTTGTTTGCACAAGCTTATTTTCTTCTTTATCCCTGGGAGTATTTGAAGACAACAAACTTGAGTTTCCAGCTCTTTGGAGCCTTGTAAAACATGCTTTTCTTTCTTTGTGGCTGCACTGTTCATTTTTTCCTGTGGTTGGGATTTGTGTCTAACAATTTGTAATTAATTGCAGAAGGCTGCAACCAAGTGAAGTAGCTGAGTCACTGAGCCACATGCTGAATGAGAGATTGAAAATAATCACCTTGCTATTTATGTGGTTTGATAATTGATATCGGCCAAATTCTGCATTCATCCACGGCAAAACAATTGCATTGAAATCAGCAGGACACGTATAACTCAGTTCTGTCTTTGATCTCCTCATGATCGAGCAGAATGCCCAGCATACTGCCTTCCTCTGAGTGATGCTGTTAATTAGAACAGATTGTGAGTGACGTTTTGGGCTGTGTTTCCTAACAGGAATGGGACAATCCTGTCCTGGGGCAGTGAATTGCTGTGCTCCCACTCTGGGTGCAAGGAAGGTGTGTGGCTCTTAGGGCTGTATGGGCACAAGAGCACCATCTGAGAAAAGCCTCTTCTTTGGAAGGGGATCTTTGGTCGGTTATCATGTATCACTCTTGTCACTTGTATTTTATTACAATAAATAACTCTATTAATTATTACTGCCATTCAATGGGGCAGTGCAAGCACAAGCTATAGCAAAGTTACAAGCAAGGTCTATTAACAAAAGTAAATGCAAAGAAAAATAGCTTAGCAATGCAGACTGATCTGGTGTGGGAGGCTTTATGAGGCTGAATTGTCTGGGAGACTGCAGAGTGGTGGGGGTGGAACTTCCCAGACTAGCAAGGGGTTTGTTCTGAAGAGAGGTGCTCACCATTAGCACCTGATGCCATCAAGCTTCCGGATGTTCTGATGCTCTTCCAAAGCTAAAAGCAGATCTGCAGTCTGCGTGACAGCAGTCCAGCTGCTGCTTCTGCTCAACACCTTCCTGTCTTGACTGATACAGTTTTCAGTATCTGGTGATCACTGGCAATTTCATTCATATCATGAACAGCTGACACTGGGACTTGTATTACTTTCCAGCCCAGTTCTGATGCTGGGATAACAATGTCAACCTCAAACTATGTTTCTTTCACTTGTTCCTCATCGAGCTTTCTCAACAGATGGACACACTGAAAATTTTTAATTTCAGTCTGTGTCCTTCGTGTCTCAAGAGTGTTAAATATTGTGGCCTGACAAAATGTCCCACTACTGATGAAGGTAGCAGGTTTGGTTTTCCTCAGCAGCCACCAGTTCACTGTACACACGTAGCTGCTGATGCAGACAGGGCTAAACAAACTCTGCTCATTTCAGAAAGCTGGTGTTTAGCACGCTTGTTGTAATGGATTTTGAAAAGAGTTCAACCTATTTAAAACAACAGCCATATGGTTTTCAGTACTGGAGGGCTGGCCAGAACGTAAATGGATATGACACACATTGTCAATAAAAAGTCATTTTACTGCTAAACATACATCTGTAAATTTAAGGAGAGTTCTGAGTCCAAGTCCATATTTGACCAAAAATCTGGAACATGGAGATCTGGTGTGGGACTAAAATTTAATATTTTATTTTGTGTTGCAAGCAACATTTCCCAGTAAAAATACCAAAATCACATTGCAATTTATTTTTTTTTAAACAGGATTGTTTGCATTTATACCCAATTTGAAATATTGCCTGTACCTATTTTTTAAAGTCTTTTTCTGCCACTGTAGATATATCTGTGACATAGCATCTGAATTATGCCATCATCCAGAAGTTATTGATTGTATGGGAACTACTGAGGCACAGCCTGAATGGAGCACGTGGGGAAAGGACCCCCTCAGCCCTGGGAGCACAGGTGAAGGCAATGTGTGACCAGAAGGGGTGGAGTCTGGCTGCACCTCTCTCAGACCTCATTTAAGGGCTGACTGCCATGGGGGAGGGATTTATTTTTTGGAGATCTCACCTTGTTGAAATCTTCCTGTGTGGACCTTCGATCTTGTGATGCAGGTGAGTGATCTTTTTTCCTTTTCTGATAGCACCTTTCTGTTGTGCTGGTCCTTCCATCATCACACCCTTTGTTGTAACGCCTTTCCCATTGCATCAATCTGTCCAGTTGTTGCATTAATGTATCTTCATTAAGTATTAGTAGTGTGATTGAGGAGTGGAAGGTCAGAAAAGCCGAAACACTCGTTAGTTGGTAGCTACTGAACTACAGCTGAAGAAAATAGAATCCTACTGGTGAGAACCTGTACTTATTGCTTCTTGCCATGAAATACAGTGTGTTCAAAATGCAGTCTTTCTGTAGTGTTACCTTAAATAAGTGTAGCTTCACCATACACTTTTGTATTTTGGAAATACATTCCTTGAGCTGCATCGTGATGTTAATGAGAGCCAAACTTTTCTGTGTAAATGGTTATTTTAAGAAAGGTGTTTTTTTCCAGAGATGGTGTTGTAGCTGGCTATCGTACACCTGTGACTAAATAACCACTTAATTGTGGTCTTGGAATCTCTTTTTAGGTAACATGGAATTTGATTGTATAGTAAATCCAATTTTTTTTCTTGAGGGCCTCAAGATTATGTTAAATAGGAAGTTCAGAAAGGCCCCATAAACAGGAGGGAACCTCAGAAAATTTCACTAATACCAGTGTGGACTCCAGTGAGCTCCCATCTCACATTACAAAAGAGGCCATGGAAAAAGACTAGATATTTTGCTTTTACCCCAGAGAACAGTTTTTGAAGGGAGGGAGAGCTTTCCTCTTTATAGATCCGTGATTCTGCTCCCCAAGTAAAATGGGCAGCATCATTTTTAGTATTACGTTTTCTTTTTTGTTCCCTATTTCAACACTTATTCATCGTGTACATGATGTCTTCCCCTTATTGGTGTCTTTCTTGTGTCACAAGTCACTGATATTTAGCTATCTCAGTTGTCACTGTTACAAATCTTGGAGAATTCTACCTAGCAAAAAAAAAAAAAAACAAACAAACCAAAAAAAAAACAGAGCTTATGAGCACAGCCTACGTTCCTGGGGATATTTGGGAAGGTGTGGATTAGTAGCAGTACTCAGTGAGCAAATACTCACAGAAACGGGTTTGACAAACAACACTCCTCTTCCAGGGTCTGTCCACCCCCAACTGAAAGTGAAAAACAAATAAATTAACCTTGGCGTTGTCCTTGAGGAATGAAGCTCAGTCAAAATGATTTCTTTGTATGGATGCCTTTCAGATCATCATAATGACAAGTAACTTGTCTGGGCACGGTGACAATTTGCAGATTTGGTCTGTAGATGTGAAGTTTCACTGAACAGAGCACTTGTGAAAGCAGAAATTCCTTTTGGATCTAATTTCACAGTGGTCCATTCCAGTATTAGAGATGGGGGTCAGATGTTAAGATGGGGTAAAGCTCTCAGCTGCTTCAGCTGTTTATTCAAAACCATTTGAATAAACTAAGCCGAGGTAGAGCAATCTCAGGAGAACCAGCCCTCTCGTAGGATGTTTGATACTTCCTGTTTCTGATTTTACAAAAAAAATAACTATTTCTAAATCCTGTTCAACTTTGGTACTTGTATTCCTGATTAGAACCAGGAAGTGTGGCATTGCACTGGAGAGGTAAGGGAACTCAAGGGAGGGAACTCAAGGCGTTTCTTGATACCTCACAGAAGTCCTGATTCAGGCCCTTGTAAAAGGTGAATCTTTCTCCTATTCTAAATATATGCAGCATATTAAAAAAAATAACAATGCAGCACTGCCAATTCCAGGGATCACAACAAAGAATGAAGTAAAGTTGCTGGAAGAATAGCCATTCCTCAAATGAGGTGTAGTTTCACAGTTATAAAATCAGCATGACTGTGTGTAGTGCCCTTGTGTTAGTGGTTCTTTCACTACTTGGTGTCAGGTATCAAATCAAGAAAATCTTTGAAGATGAACGTGAGCAAAATTATCAGGGAACCAGTACTGGTTCTAAGCACTGGTCTTCTGTGCAGCTACCACATTTTTAGCAGTCATCAAGAATGCAAGCGCTGGAGCCTGTCAAAGCAACTTCACCTTTAAGGTGTAAAGCTCTGCATGTCCCCACGGGAAAGCTATTTCTGTATATTTGTGTGAGAAAAATGATGTGCACTGAGTTTGCCCCATGTGCAGCCTGGAAAAAGCATTATTTGGGCCAGTTAGAAACCTATCCAAATGTGCATCTACTGCATTCTTTCTTGCAGGGGACTCTATCCTGTCTGTTCAGTTTTATGGTGAAATTTGGAAAGGGTTTCTTGAGCGGTTTCACAGTGGTGTAGTGCAGGAAAACCTTTTGTTTGCTTTTATGGATGAACATAGAGTTCATCTGCCAGTATCTCATCAGCAAGTGCAGCTTCTCTCTGTCTGTGTTCCAGTTTGTCCAAATTCCATGTGGCTGTGCTAACACAGCACCGAGCCCAAGTTAATATATTTAGTCACTGGCAGGGCTTTCCCATTCAGGCTTGGCATGCTGTTAACCACAAGGCTTTGGCCACATTGGAAAGTGGACAGATTGAGCTCATGTCTGTGCACAGTATGTCATGTAGACATAACTCCCTGGAACCGTAGCAGCGCTGGGGCCACTTCCACACTTAACATCCTTTTCATCTACTTACTTGCTCATTTTCTTAACTCATGGTGTTCTGCTGTCCCCCTCCTCCTTCCTTTCAGCAGCATTATCACAAGGCTAATTTTGATATAATGCCTGCGGCAACTTGTCAGAAAGTTTTAAATTGCATTTTTGATGTATTATATCATCATGGAGAAGACATCAAATACATTTTATTTAGATGCTTTTGCTGAGTTGTTGAACTATTAGCTGTGTTTTCCCTCCAGAACTGGGTAAAACTGACTATTTGTTAAAATGACTTAAATGAGTGTCTATTATCAGCATGGTACTTCTGTTCATGGTTTACACTCCTGTGGAGTAGTGGTACATAAGACAGAGAATATTGTGATGGTAAATAAAGTTTTGAACATGAGGTGATAAGCAAGTGGCTTTAGAAGTAGCTGCAGAGCTGCTTCAAGTGGCATATCAAGTGATCAGCCCTCTCACATGACTGCAGAATGCTCCAGCTTCTTCCTGAGGAGAAGGAGAGGGTTTTTCTGTCTTCTGTCCATAATTTCTGCTCTGTCTTTCACTGACAAAAGAAGCTGTTAAAGTACTTTGTCCTGGTCCCACTCTTTTCCCACCCAGATTTGTCCTTAACCCATGGTAAGAAGAACAAAGTTCTGAGCTCTGGGAAGCAGTAAGTGCAGAAATTAGCTGTTCCTGGTTGGCTACAGATACAATACAAACAGGAAAATGGGGTAAGTACAGATTTAGAGACTTTTTAGATACTTCTTTAAATCACTGATGTCTTACAATTCGGGCTATTTATAGCCTTACTCATCTTCTCACAAACAGCCAAATTCCATACGTCTCCACGTGGGGTGCTGAACCTTTTTATTTAGATAAACCTCCTCCATTTGATTTCTCCTATAGGGGCACTAGGCCAGGAGCCAGTGCAAAACAAGGAGAGCAAAAGGCAACAAAAGCAAGGCGTCAGCCAGGGGAGCCACACTCGCATTTCTTGGCTCTCTCTCACAGTACCAGCACTCAGGAAGCTTTCCTTGCAAACACATGTTGAATGCTATGTGATAGACCCACACAGAACTTGCTTTTGGGGATAGATGTAAAGAAAAATTGGGGAAGGGAACTGCTGCTGTTCTTCCTTCCTGTTTATCTTAGGCCTCATTTAGCAAAACAAAAATCAAACAAAGAGGGCTATGGAGACTTCATAGTTGTGTTATTTTCCAAAGCCTTTAATTTTTAAAATTTACCATGAGTAAAGGAAAAATGCTTGTTCAGAGCCAGCCTCTGCACCCAGCTGCTTCCCCACCTCATTTAGTGACAATAAATAGGATTAAGAATATATATTGTTTCTACTTTCCAGTTAGATGCGTCAAATGACACAGCTATAAAAAAGGAGCACAGGGTTCAATTCCAGAAGGCACTTCATTAACAAAAATGACATATAACCCCCCACACCCACACTTGGCAGCAAGCTGAAAAGGGTTAATGAAGGACCTATTTGCCTCCCCCATCTGTGAATAAGTGCCAATCAAAAAACAGCTGCTATAAAAGGCTGTAGCCCAGCAGGAACAGGAGTGGTAGGTGGCGAGGTGTTGGAGAAGCAAGCTGTGGGAGGCCAGCATGCCAAGGAGGGGTGGGAAGACTTGGTCCTTTACTTGTCTGATGCTGTCTTGGAAGCTGGAGGAGAAGGTGGGTATAGGGTTGCTGGTCTACAGCATAAAGGGGAGTGGGTTCTCAGTTGGGCCCCAGTGCTAGATGTGTGACCTCCCAGGCTTTGGAGAGTAAATCTGGTGCTCGTTGTTCTCATAGAGGCTGGAGAAAGACAGGTTAGAAAAAATCTTCCTGGATCTCAGCCTAGCTCTTAGTGAGATGCAAACAGAATCAAAGCTTGCTAAATACCTTCCCAACACCAAAGGATGCTCCCTGTTAAGAATGAAGTAAAACAGTATGATACTTGTATCACTGTAGACTCTTACCACGAAACTCTGACTTGATTTCTCTGTAATCCCATTCTTACCGCTATATTTTGTGCATATTTGTGCTGACACTTCTTCACATGAATGTGCTGCAAGTGACTTATTTAGGAGTGTTCACTGGATTAGGTTACAAGGCTGATGACTTTCTGCTTCTTCCCGAGTCCAGCTATGCCAGAGACAAAAGGTAGAAAGGAAGCTAGAACTCACTGGGTGTTACTGGAGAGGAGAAAGGTGCATGGCATAAATAGAGCCTTACGTTGCCTGTAGGATTTCTTTGGTCTGTGAGATGCCTTACTCCAGTGTTTACAACCTGAAGTGGGGACCGTAACTCTGTGGGTGCTGATAAGTGCAGATATAATCCTGGGATCTCATTAAATTTGAAAAAGAGAGGAAAAAGGTCATTTAAATTAATAGTAGCACGAAAGCATGCACAGGAGCTGGAAATGGAGAGGCTTAAGGGAGCTGAAAAATGCCTTCAGCAAAATAAGATGTGATAGAAACGATGTGTCAGCTATCAAAGTCATTGACTAGGAGCTGAAAATGGCAGTAGGAATACATTAATAAAACTTGAAAACAACAGCTTAAGGTGTTTGGTAGCTTGTTGCCTTCCTATCTGTTGAAGAGATGGAAATTTGATATGAGCGAGTAGGGAATATTCCCCAAACTTGCTTATGTCATTATCCAGTGCATCTGGTTTGGAGTATGTCAATGATTTATTTCTCAAGTGCTTAATTTTGTGCTTACCACCTTCACTTGTAAAATAGGAAGTGCAACAAAGAGCAGCAGCCAAATGGCAGATCCCTAGGTACGTTCATCAGGAAACTTCACTTGCTTAATTACAACTTGTGTGTTCCACAGCAGTGGGCTGGGTACTGTAGCTGTCTGTAACCTGGTCAAAGGCTCAAGCTGTGAACCAGTAAGATGCAGATAGCTCCTGTGCTATCTGAAGTGCTGTTGTTCAAAGCTTTTTTTCTCTCAGGAGACCTGAAGGCAAGATGCTTGGTTCTTATCAAAGCCATCCTTTCTCCTTTGTGTTTATAGTTTGGTAATGCTGTTGCAGTAGCATGCTTCATTCTGGCACTTGAGGCCTTCTCTGTTGTACTGACTTCCCTTTGACAGGGCTGTGCTGCACATGGAGGCTTTCCTCAGCTCAGAATGCTCCTGTACCCTTTCAAGGGTCTGCAGTATTTCACATTACTGAACGTGAAGTATTAATGACACATGTATTCTGTTAAGCTTTTGGCCTTTGCCATATTTGTAGCTTTTTATGGAGATTGCATGATGTATTAACAATGATGGCAGCTGCCAAACTGTCTGAACTCCTGCTTCCTTTCTCACCCTGCTGTTTTGCCAGGTCAGGGACTCCAAACATCAAATTTCTTCTCCTCTGTTTAATATTCCATGCATTCTTTCTCTGTTTTTGTACCTAATACTGTATAAAAACTTCCTGATTTTTTTTTTTTTCCATGCTTTCTTTACTTTCCCTCCTTTCCATGAGAGGAGAGCTGAATGAATTAAGCAAAGATGAGCTGGAATGTAAGGGCAGGAGTGGCCTTGGTGTGCAGGCTCCCTGCCCTGTGCCCAGCTGGGGTGCAGTGCTAGCCCTGTGCTAGCAGCTCAGTAGGCTTGGGGAGAGGCAGCTTCCCTGCTGGAGGTAAAATATGTCAGCCTGGCCTTCAAAAAACTATCAATTTCTGCTGTTCCATAATGTATGGGATGATATTTCATTTAATCTAGTTAACATTATTGAACAAAGCTATTTTGTCTGCACTGTGCATAGCTTAGTATTCAACTTTGTGTCATGCTTAACAAGGGCAGCGGTCCTTTTCTGAGTTTGACATGCCACATGGATGTGTGGTTATTTATACCCAGGTCTGCACAAAAGAAATTGAGACAATAGCGTATCCTGTAGCACATAACCAATTTGTTGATATGCATTCTTGGGTGAGGAGGTTGGTCTCAGTGGTTTTGGTAGCTTCCTGGATGGGATACCAGGATGCTGCTCTGTACCACTGAGTATTGTGAGGTTTACTTCTGAGGTTGTGCAGAATTTACAACAGCTCTACTATGCTGCCTGTGTGGGGCTCATTTCCTTGCAGTCATGTGGTCTGAAGATCTTTGAAGTGGAAGCAAAGCTGAGTGTGACTCTAAAAGCAGGGGGTGAATACACAACAGAAGTAGTGCCTCTGACTATGCTGAGTTACTCCATCTGGAACCTCCATGGTGTTGGCTTCCTATGAATGAGAGTCCTGAGAGCTGGTGCTGCCTGAGCAATGCTGAGAGTTCTGCTAGGAAGTCTCTTCATTATGTTCTGCTTGTCATGTCTGCACCTCCATCTTTTCAGCTGTTTGGGAAATATTCTTGGACAAGACATGCTTGACAGGTGGGGAAAAGCAAGCACAGCAAAATGCTGTCCTCTTCCAAAGATGGAAGTGTTACCATGTTGGCTGGGGCTCTAATGTTGCCATGCTAGCCATATAGAAAAATGGCGTGGAAAGGAAAGCTTGAGCATAGTTGGGAGTTCTCACAGTCCTGATTTTGTGTTATTTGTGTTTGTGACAGTATCAGCTTTTTCCACATAAATACCCGGAAGGCAAAATTTCTTTTTTTTTCCTGCAAAAGCTCCAATAAACAATCGCTTGGTGCCTGCTCTGCAAACTGACCCTCTTCCTGAGATAGAAATGTGAGGGCTTTGCTTGTTGTCAATGAGCCTGTCATGGTTTTCAACATGTTACTTTGCAAGAAATTCATTTCCAGTGATCAGCTTATAAACCTGCCATAAGGAAGTGTGTTTTCACACTAGTCTAGTGTACTTCTTGTTTTCAAACTCTCAGGGACGTAGAAATACACCAGATTTTTGGCAGCACATGGTTTAAAAATCAGCACCAATGTATCTATTGAACATCTCAAATGGGTAAAGGAAAGGGCAGGTTTCATTGGGGGTCAGTAAACAACGAACATCTGCCTTGCCAATCTTTCCTTCTTCTACAGTTTTGTGCAGTCCCAAAAATCCTTCAGGCATATGTTGAACAGAGTTTCAAAGCACACAAGCCTCCTGCTTCTGCTGATATTTTGGCCAGTGCTTAACCCTATGTAGTTCAGTCTGGATTTTTCTGACTGTGCCGGGATCAGATTGAATGGATTAGGTAGTGCTTGGGGCTGGGAAATTGAGGTCTATGATCTCCAGCAGGTTAGATGAAGTGTGAGCAGAAGTTCTGTAAGCTGCTTGTGCAATTACCCAAGAGAAATAGATGAGTGAAGTATTAACTGATGTTCTTTACCCCTCTTTGTCAGATCTTGGCATACGATGCTTGGTGTAATGTGCTTATTATAGTTTGTCCCTGCCCAGTGCAATTCGCCCCAATTGGCCATAATAAATAGTTCCACAGTGGTCTTCAGCCAAGTAAGTGCTTGACCTAATAATGCATCTTATGCTCTGCCTGGAAGCTCAGCAGTGCTTTGTAGGACACAACAGTGCTCTCTGAAGGTTGAGCTGTGCTGCTCTGCTGGCAAGGAATAGCCATCTGGTGACCCCTTGCTTAAAGCATCAGCCTTCCTCTCGTAAACACGAGTCGGTGGATTGCCAGCAGATGCATTTAATTCTGAGCCCGACTCTTGAGATGGTGTGTGGGGAGGGAAATGATCAATAACAAAGCTCTGTTCCAGTCTGAGTGAGGCTTTATTGATGACTGACACCTAGCAGCAAACAGCGGGTCACAAGGAGTAACTTAGTCATGCTGCTCTGCTCCTCAGAGGCAGTGACAAGCTGAAGCTTGTGAGTAATCTTTGGGGTAGTCATATGCAGAAACAACTGCAGCTGTCCAACATGGATTTGTTTTGCTTTTAGTCTGTGTAACCTGAAGGCTACCATCTCTTGACTCAGTTGTGTAGGTGGAAATTGAAAGGAACCCCAAAGGCAGTATGAGAGCAATTGGAACTTGAGCATGTTTTTGGTAACGTGGAGGTATATGCGTGTCATCACATTCAATCCTTCCTTAATTTGTATCAGTGCTTGTCTTAGAGGTGTCCACAAAGGACTAAGCAGACAATTGTCCTGCTTAACTTCATTACATTTTCTTTATGTCGAAGGGTTAGCGTGACTATGTTTTGCAAGTTCACTCTCTGGTTTAAGTGAAGGGAAAATAAAACCCTCTATTTGTAATTAAACTCACAATAACTTGTCCAAATACTGTAGAAATATAATTACATTGTCTCAGTGATGTCACACCTACTCTACATGTTTTTTAGGCAACTGCGTGTCATGATAGGGCCACTGATTGTATGCATTATAGATGCGTACTCTGCATACTGCTGGAGAAAGCACTTTTGATCCTTATCATTGAAGTGGAGATGCTATCAGATACGTGGATGTAGCTAAGTATAATGTCTAATTAGATATTGGGCAGGAAAGCACTAAGCAGATAAATTTGTGGATTATTTTTTCCCAAGATGACAGAACAAAAAATTCCTGGAAATAAATTGACTGTAGTGAAATTTCACTCACTTGTGTGTTCTCTTTTCTGAAGAAAGGAGGAAATTCTAGCAATGTCAGTGTTCAACTTGGACACTTACAAATTAGGCGTTTTAATTATCAGAGTGATTCTTAATTATGTGGCAAAATCTAAGTCAAAATGCAAATGGAACGCTCTCACCATAGAATACTTTGATATTTTGACTATTTTTTGGAAATTCTGGAGTTTACCTTTTGCTCCGAATAAATTTTTGAAGTCCTTCACAAGGCATAATTTAATTAGGTAGCCCTGTTGGTGGTAAAGATTTGGTCAGAGTTTCTGGAGATAGAAGAGACTGTAATGATTTCAGATGATGGGGAAAAAAAATTCTTTGTTTGAAAAGCATTTGTTATATAAACTTGGATCTCAGATTCTTTCATAAAGAAGCCTTTCCAATGCGTAGTGACTCTTGTCTCCGTGCCTGTCACAGGGCTAAATATGTCATAACTGCCAATGTTTAGAGGACTTTTGCCTTGCCTTGCTTGTGGGACTTTGTCACAAAGTAGGCAAAAAGAATTGTTAACTCTTCAAGAAGCGAATTGCTGAATTTATTCAGCTAACAATTTAATAGGAAATGCTAAGATGTTGACTGATTTGTAGCCTGAGTTTTTTTGCTTTATTTTGATCATAAACTAAATGGGATCTCTTACCTCTATATTTTATTTCAAATACTTCTCCTTCAATAACAGCTGGTTATGTCTGAGGTAAACAGAGTAGAAAGTGTCCAAAATGTTCAGTGCAAATGAGCATTAGGCATCAAAACGAGTCCAAGCTTCTTGAATGCTGTTACAGCTTAGTACTGGATGAACTGGAATCCAGCACTTGAGAGAGGATTTTCCTACCACTGTAAAATGTAATGTAAAAAAAAAATGTAAAAAAAAAGGACTGCATAAAGGACTCTCCTTGGGTGTACACAAGCATGAGACACTTTCATAAGCCAACATGCAGGAGCGATACATGCAGCCATTACGTGTCCCAGATTCTCCACCTCTGGTATTTGTAGGCTCTTGATGTCTAACTAGGGTTTGTAGAAACTTTGTACATTTTGGTCAATCCCTGTGCTCAGGCAATGAGCAAGAGAGTCGGAGGCCACTTCTGTGTGTATTAGGAAGCATTTCTTCCTTGGTTATTTGGAGTGTGAAGATGAAACTAGAAGAAGGCAGGCCAATAGCACAATGTTTTTAGCAAGGCCCTAAAACTGCATTTACCACAGTTGAGATCCAGCTGAACTCTGTGCCAGCGGGAAGCTAGATTGACTTCTTTGGAAATAGCCACCTACTCTATGGGATGTCGTGCAGTACCACCCACAGCTGATGGCTTGCAGGACGTGAGCATGGCTTGCTTATGCTGTGCTGCTTTTTGGATTACTGTACAAGGATGTGGTGGTGCTGAGCTGAATGACCCTTTCTCTGATGCCTCGCCCCATGCTAAGGTTTGGTTATTTCTTAACCAATTGCAAAGAATCAGACTGCATTTACAGGGTCAAAAGTTTAAGTATCCACTGCATAATTCTTGTAGTACTGTGGTGAGGCAGGCTTGCATTAACACAACCTCATCCTGGAAGCTTCAAAGCCTGTCAGTGTGTCTGATAGTGCTTGGCACTCAGATATGACAGTGAATGGTAATTTGCAAGTGCCTCAAATGGACGGAAAATAGTTTTCATTATTTTTACTTGATTTGGATTAGTGTCAGCGCCCTGTGCGAGCTCAGATATTTCCATGAGGGCTGCATGTGACCTCAGATGGCTGAATAGTACAGCATGTCCCATCCTTGGTCCAGGGCCTAGAAAATTCCTGGTTCAAACCCCAGATTCAGCACAGGTCATCTGGTTGACTTTAGGCAGAGGAAACAGCTAGTTTATTGCCTTTTGCAAGGAGCTTTGGGTTACAGATGGAAGCGATACATATAGGGAAGGCATGACTGGTGCCTTGATGGGTGTTGGGGAAGCATGCATTACAGAAAAATGTGTGGGTGTACCAAGTGAGGAAGAGGAACAAGAAAGTAGAGGGAAGGTAGAATGCAGTGTTACTCTTCTCTGCTGCTGTAGCACCTGGGTGAGGATCTGTGGGAGCTGATGTACTCGTGTCCTTGCCACCAGGACTTGTGACAAATCAGCCTGCTCTCATGTAGGCTTTGGGAGCTTCTCTCTGCAGACCAAGTGAGGCACTTCTCCTTTGAAGAGGCTGTAATTACAGAAGAGACCAGCAGCATTTTCCTGTGGTGTTAATGGATATATCAGTGTTTCCACAAAGTCCCTTGTGAAGGATTTACAGCTCAGCCATTAATATTAGCTACACAGTGGGTGTATAAGCTGCTTGCCCAGAAGTATTAAAAGTTTAAAACAGCGTAGCAAATTCTAGTGGGCCTTGTCTAGAAGCAAGCTTGCACTGGTTTGATTAAAGAGCAAATTTAACCTAGTTTGGTTAGAGCGCTGCTTATTTGTATGTATATGCTCATATCTGGCTTGAGGGTGACTTACTTCAGCCCATGCTGATTTTAATTCAGCTGCACAGAAATTCTGTGAGGATTCCCACTTCATGCATACCATCTGCTGTGCTGAACAGCTCTGGTATCTACTGGGTTAAATAAAACAAGCTTCTGATCATGTGGATATGGGACAGCACACAGAACCAGCAAGCATTTGGTCAAACTGGTTTTGATCACATCTCTGTAGCAGAAATGTGAAAGATTGTGTGCAGACTGCCTAAAACTGAAGGTAGGAGTGGTGCTGAGATTTCAGCATGTTACTACTGCTACAGTGTTATATATAGAGAATAAATTTCATCACTTCTCAGCTGTGATTAATACAGAACCATAAAAACTACCCTATTTACTTTCCCTTCCACTTTATTACACTGAGTAGACATAAGAAAACATTTTTTCTTCTATTTCTGTGAGTTGAAAATTGTGTGCACGCTTGCTGAAATAAGCAAAACCTTTGAATGTCAGAGGTAAAGCTGAAGGCTTTTTCCATGGATGATCTTCAGTATCAGGAATTCATGGTTCAGAAGGCACTTTCCTCTGGTAATGAAGTCTGAGGCAGTGTTAATGTGTATGACTTTTCCCATTCTGAGAAAATCGTTTTGGCAACAGAAGTCAGGAAGGAGGAGAGTACTCCTCTGGTGCGATGATTTCCTTATTAGTAAGGTCTACAAAGCAATGCAGGAGGCTCTGTACTGTCTTCAAAGCAAAATTCATTAAAAATCAAGCATGGGATGTCCATAGAATGGGTGGCCCTTGGGCAGTGTTCTAGTTTTGCTTTGTGTGCTTCATATGCTTTGCAATCCCTTTGCCTAGTTATGGTTTTAGAGTGGAAGCCCTTCTGCACAGAACAGTCCCTTTTTGGTAGGGTGTCCTTAATTTCTGTGCTTTCATGAGCTATGGCTGTTTGTTTTTTCCCAGGGAACTTCTCTTGGTTATAAGCAATGGTGCTAATAAACACTGCTAGAAGAATGATCTCCTGCTTCTCTCTTCAGTACAGCAGAGATGCTGCGATGAAAAATGGAATAGCACTTTGGTGCAGAATCTGTGGAAATGGTGTGATGCTATGAAATGCTGAATTTGTAGCACTACTACTCTCGCTACCAGTACAATAAATATTGGCAGGTTTCAATGCACTGTAGCATGCAAACATATCCGCACCCACACAGAAGTCAGGACCACGAGAGCTGCTAACTTCCCTGGGGGTTGTGCTGAATGAGTAACTAGATGGCAAAAGCAGTTGCATATGTGCCCTCAGAGGTAATCTTAAGGACAAGGGAGGTGAGATTCACCTTCCTGCTACCGGGATGCAGAGAAAAATGATGGAATGGGCTGAACCCTTGGAAGATATCCCCACCATCCATCTTCAGAGGAAGATGTGAACTTCTCCAGGAGAGAGGAACCAGTGCACTGCAAGCTTCCAAAAAGAGAACCCTGTAAGAAATCTGTACATCTTGTGCTCTGGATGAGAATGCTTTTTCCATCTCCTTGGAAGTAATCCTGACACTCCTGTTTCATGTTATCAGCATGGTGGTAGATGTCTCCAAAGGTTTTCTGTAACGTCAGGGTCTTAGGATGCTGCTTGGCGACTTGGTCAAGTTCACACAACTTAATGTGCAGGAGGATGTTTCTGAAAATTCTGTCAGTCTAACATTTTATTATAAATGAGTGGTACTGCAGACTTTGTTAAACACACAACCCATTCCATATTTAATACCTTCAGAATTAATAACTGATTCAGTTTGGAGCATGATGAATGCCCATGTCAAAGTCTAATCATATCTGGCTTTTTTTTCCCAGCATATTCCAGAGACAAAACATTCTTTTATGACTCTCCTAGTCTATGCATTTTTAAAAACACAGAATAAAATGTCTTGGCAGCAGTCCAGTCACTACAATGATGTTCATTCCAGGAATATTTTTAAGGCCACTGCTTTCTGTTCATTCTCCTGATATTCCTCAGTTTCTTGCTCTTCTTACATTGAAACATTGTGGGTTTTTTATTATTTAAAACCTACGTATGGTTCCAGCTTCCACTAAAGTCCTAAATTCTAATGATTAAAAATTAATAACTTGCATGTATTTATTCACAGTCACTCTTAAACTTCATGTTGTAATTGGGAAGGAGACTTTACTGTTACACTGTGACTATGTATTTCAATCTCCATCCATTATGGGATGCTCAGATGAGATACTTGCACTCGTGTTTCTGCAGAGGAGAATTTTATCTTACGGAGACTTTCAGTGATGGCAAAGAACCACTTTTTTCTGGTGTTACTCAAGCCCAAGTAACTGGTCATTTGCCTCCCCTGCTCATGCTTGAAGAGGCGACGTTAAGCTGTGAGAACAAATGCAGTGAAAGATGCCTTGAAATGTCTTGGGAATAACTTCAAAGGTGGTGTGTGCAATAGTGAGTACTATGTATGTTTAGCATGCCTTGGAGAACTTGGCCTACAGCAAAAGTCCAGAATAATCCATCTGTTTTAAAGATATTGGACTAAAAACTAAACCTATGCAGTTCAGTTGTAAAATTAATGGTGTTTGAATAACAATGCTTGGAAAAAGAATTTGGTCTTAACTAAATGTGCACTCCTTGAATTTGTTTCAGTTGTTGATTGCTAGATGTCTTTTGCAATAACTCAGAATTCTTGAAATGTTTTAGCTTTTTCATTTTTATACAGAGATTGCAGAGTTGGTGGCTGTGGTTGAACCTGGCACATGGCTGAGCACCACACCATTTGCTCATTTCCCCCCTTCCCAGTGGGATGGGGGGCTTGTGAACAAACTAAGTAGAACTTGTGTGTTGAGATAAAACCATTCACTAAGATGGGGAAAAGGATAATAGTTATGACTATATATGCATGTATATATGAATGGATATAACAAGTGATGCACGCAAAATTACTCACCACCCCCTAGCTGATGCACAGCTAGCCCTATGAGAGATGAACTCCCATCCCCTTCAAAATTCCTTCTGTATGATGTCATATGATATGGAATATCCCTTTGGCCAGTTTAAGTCAGCTGTCCAAGTTCTGTTCCCTCCTAGCTCATGTAGCCTTGTGCTGAGACTAACCTTGCCTCTGCAAGCAGCACCTATAAACACTGGTACATTATTGTTCTCCTAGAATCAAAACAGCATCGTAGCAGATGCTCTAAAGAAAAATTATTCCATCCTAGCTGAAGCTGAGACACTGTTTCAGCATGATGTTGGGATGAACTCTGGGTCCAAATAGGTGCATAACTGACTTGGCTTTTACTTTTTCCATCATAACAGTTCTTCAATCACCACCATCTTATGGGAAAAGGTATTTTGACCTCTAGTTTTTTTAAAGACAAAGTACCATGGAGATCATCAGTGTTCAGAACATCTTTCTGTAGGAGAAAGACTAATATTAAGGCCACTGCTTGCAAACTGGCAAGAAAAAAGTATTTTTATCCATTCTGACATAGAATACGATTTTGTTAAAGGAATAATTGCAGGCTGGTAGCTTGTAAACTTCTGGGTTATGTTAGGGCAGAAGGGGTCTATATGATTATCTAGTCCTGCTTTACAGATCATAGAGATTTCACCATCCCATGTGGATGTAAGCCCACAGACCAAGTCTTCTGATGTTTCAGTGTTCTTATTCTCTCTAGGTGATTTCATTCGTATGGAAATAAGATCTCTTTACTTCAGGAGGGCCACAAAGATGGTGAGGGGCCTGGAGCATCTCTCCTATGAGGAAAGGCTGAGTGAACTGGGTCTGTTCAGCCTTGAGAAAAGAAGACTGAGAGGGGACCTGATCCAGGTCTATAAATATCTAAGGTGTGGGGGGCAGAATGGCGAGGCCGGACTATTTTCAGTGGTGAGTGGAGACAGGACAAGGGGAAACGGCTGGAAACTGCAGCATAGGAAGTTCCGCACAAACATGCGCAAGAACTTCTTTACAGTGAGGTGACGGAGCACTGGAACAGGCTGCCCAGGGAGGTGGTGGAGTCTCCTTCTCTGGAGATGTTCAGGACCTGCCTGGATGCCGACCTGTGCGACCTGCTGTAGGGAACCTGCTTTGGCAGGGGGTTGGACTCGATGATCTCTGGAGGTCCCTTCCAACCCCTACAATTCTGTGATTCTGTGATTATTTTACAGTTATGTCCAGTTCAATGATATTCTGATTTTATAACCATTGCATTTGAATGGGGAAGAAATAGAAATTACACTGCTGAACTTTGATCTTTGAGCAGTTTATCTGTGAAAGGGATAGATCTTCCTCACCACTTGTAGGATTCAAGTCAAGATTTGATACCACTTTGGCTCAGCAGGGATATTGACAGTGGGCTAGCACGAGGAAATTCTGCGGCATGGGATGTGAAGGAGGATTGGATTAGATGAACAAATGATTCCCTCCTGGCCTTCAGACCGCTGAATTACTTCATGCGTGCTAACAGTAGTTTACAGTAAATGTGCAGTGCAAATCACCAACGTTATGAAACAGACTGTAACGCTTGCTGTATTTCAGAGCTTCTTTTTTATTTCCATCTAAGTGAAATGTCAGAAGAGCTATATAACAAGAAAGCACATAGCAAATAATGCTACCTGTGTTATTCCAATATAAGCTTTTCTGTGCCCCTAACTGTGAGGGAGGAAAGGTAGGTTTTCCTTTAATGTTTGATGTGCTTGCAGTAATTAAGGTTTAAGGTATTATTATGGGGGGGAGGGGTGGAGGTGTGATATGGGTGTATTTCTGTGCAGAAGTTCTGGGTTCCCCCTCCAACTCCCACCTATTGCTAGCTGGCTAGCTGAAACAAATAACACTGCATGCTAAATATAAGTGGCTAGATCCTACTGTGGTTCCATCTGCAAACATACCATGTGCCAGTTGCTCTAGGTAGGGTATCTTGGCATGGGCATCTGTTTACAGGGAAAGCCTTTTTTTTTTTTTTTTTTTTTTTTTTCTGCCCTAATTGTTTCCATGTATTTCAGACTTGGGTTTCTCCCATTTCATGGACATGAGAGCAATTAACCAAGAACTTACAAGCTCAGCAGAGTGAGGGGAGTGCTTTATAAACAAATCAAAGTTACTCACAAGACATGTTTTCTCACATCCGGTGAAATGGTAAATACAGTCATCTCCCAATTAGTCTGACTAGCAAGGGGGGAAAAGGGCAACCTGGATAAAGAAAACACATTTACTACGAAACATATGTAAATAAGTTGATAAGAGTATGTGATAAAGGCATAAAAGGGAAAAGCTCTGTGATGACTTATAGCTGCGTGTGTAAATGAGCTCTTGAGCTGAGAACTCTGCACAGTGCACTGATGCACCTTAGCCTAAGCACATTTGTCTGGTGCCACAGCCTAAGACAATTTATTTTCCAGTGGGGGCTTTGTGCTCAGGCCCAGGGCTGACGTGAACATGAGCTGTACTTCTGTTTTGAGGCTGAGCAGGCTGCTGCTCTGGGACTTCTGGTTATGGGGTCAGTGGTCATACAGCTGATCTGCGTTGGTACCTTGTCCTGGGGCTGGCCAGGCTCATTGCATGCAAGGTTTTCTCAGCATCTAGTTCATGAAGAGATACAAGAATACCTACTCTGTATATTGTTTGTTACTCATACTTCCTTAATTAAGTAGCTTCTGTATGCTCTTCCAGTATCATCTCCTTGCTGGTACTTAAACTGACATTTTCATACACTCAATTCACTGTGATAAAATTCCGACCTGACTTACACCAATGAGGCTTTCTGAGCTTGGATTAAAATACAGAGGATAGTGTCTTACCAAAAGGTAACTTTAAAGGATAAGATGACTAGAGATGGTCACATGGTGCCAGGAACCTGAAGTATACTGGTGTACTGGATGTCTGAAGTTGTAGTGCATGTATATCAAAGCAGTGAGAAATGGCTTTTCTCACTGTTGTACAGATTATTAGGAACTCTATGATGCTTGCTTTCAGAATTAATATTTATCAGCACATAAGGTCTGGAACATGTAAATACCATTAACTATTCCTGGACGCTTTAATGTCTATTCTGAGTTGTTCTATTACTGTTACTACACAGTTAATTCCCAAGTGCAACTGGTGCTCTTGGCCTCCTAAAACTATGCAAGGCTGATGCAATTAGGTATCACTAATTTTTTTTTTTTTTTTTAGAATGGACCCTCTAGAGTTAAATCCCTCTCTTCTGAATGGACAAAATATTTCAGGCTGTTTTTTGAAACCTAAGGTTTTATTCATAAGTCTTTGGCAAAGATTTTTCCTCCTTTCTGCTGCCATTCCTTGTAATGGATGCCAGTTTGCCAAGTGATGGTGGGAGTAGTGATAAAAGCAAAAGTGTAGGTGTTGCACATAGTTGTAAAGCAATCTGCACCTCTCTGGTTCCCAGACATTTCTGGATGAGCCTGTTTGTTTGGTTACACCACAGGGCTCCTACCTGAGCAGGAGGTACGTTTGTGCAGATAACTCCACTGGAGTCTGCCAGCTCCCATGATGTGAAATGGTAAGAAGGACTGCAGGACGAGGCCTTGGGTATGCCATGGGCAAACGTCTGTGACTACCTGCTGGCTTGGAAAAGTTAAGTTTTCTGCCGCCAGAAGTTTCAGGAATCAAGCCCTTGTCTATTTCATCACTGTCAGACCTGGGGAGCATGAAGCTGATACACGTCTGCTTTGTAAATGTCTCAGGAGCTGTTTTTTAAGAAGAGCCAGGTACACGTATACTAGTCGTCTCCTTAGCGCAGAGCCTCTCCAGCACTCTAACCCTATACTTTAGTCACTACTGACAGGTAGAGGGCAAATTTGCATAATGAACTGTTTAAATATTCAGTTTTATCAAGGCTTCAAGGCACTATTTGTCCTCCGCATCTTCAATAGCTAGTGACCCTATCTAAATCAACATCATTTGTCAAATCAAATT